GAAATAATATAAGTTTAAATTCTGTTTCGATCAAATTTTGAGAATTTCAACCAAATTTTAGTCAGTGTACTGACTGGTACATTGAAATTTGACCAGTACAACTTATGTCCAATTAAAAAAAAAAAAGGATTCCCTAGCTAAAATGACGTTGTTTTGGCTAGGGGCTTTAATTCACCCTACAATTTCAGATTGTAGATCTTTGTTCGTCTTCCTCATGAACCTCGTCTCGACTCGTCACCAATGGGCTAGTGGATGCTTTTTTGCCACTGCTTTTTCTTTTCATATTTTGTTTTGCGAGCCCTAGATCTTAAAGAGTGATTCGATTGTTCTTCCTTTTCTTTTTTGATTGTTCAGGTATGAGTGAAAATCTTGATTGTTATTTGCCTTTCCTTCTCCTTTCCTCTCGTGGATCTTCCTTCTTTTACCTTTTCTTGGTCCTCATTTCTCTTCCATCTTTTCTTCCCTTTATTTTTTCTACCCTTGTTCTCCCCATTCGTCCTTTCCCTTCTTTCCTTTAACTTTTCATCTTGTTGTTTTCTTGTAGATCTCGTAATATTTCACCTTTGTCTACTCTGATTCCTTCCCCACAATTTTCCCTTTTATCTCCTTTTACCTTCTAAAAGTTTCTTTAAGTTTGATTGGAAGACATATGGGATGAAGAGGAAGAAACAAAAAAAATTTTCAACTCTATGTATGTATTGAGTTAATAAGTGCTCGAACCATGGGATTGTGAAGATAGCATTAGCTTGTCTTAAAAGTTAAGTTTTCAATTTAGAATTTCAATTTACTAATTAAAGATAATTAGTAATGTTAATTTTGTTGTTTATTCATAATTGTCCTTTGGTAGAAACAATTGAAGAACCCTTGTGATGAATCCGTTTAGGTATTTGTTTCTATGATTGTAATATGAATGACAATTGCCCTTTTTTTCTTTTTTCTAGCTCACATGGGTAATTACTAACTAGTGGAAATTTGATGCAATGTGTTTGAAATATAGAAAGAAGGTTTTCTATTATTGAATCTTTTTAGCTTTTCTAAATTGAACAGATTTGCTATCATTTGTTGAGTAATTATCATCATCTTAATGTCTTTAAAAACAAATTAATGAACATGATTTGCATGGTGCTTCTGACCTTCGGCCAAACTGTGGGTCAACCAACTAGGTAGCAAAAATTAAAGATAGTCCACGCGCGCTCCAATATTTTCAAGAAATTATAATGTGGGTTGGATTATTTTTAGTCTCTTGAATCAGTGTTCTACGTTCCCCAGTCACTTGAGAAATTAAAGCTCTAGTATATGGAAAAATGAATTTCAGATCTTTGAATAAGAAAAAGATAAAAAAAAAAAAATGGCCTTTGTTTTTTGCAATCGTGAAAATCCCTGTTTATTTTATTCTATTGTTTTTTGTTACTGGAAAAGGAGGAGTATTATTGCAGGCTGTTGAGTACAAGAAATACTCAAAGAACAGTACGAAAAGAGAGGAGCAACAAGCCAGGGCATGTCAAAATAGAGATCAGGAACTAGTGACAAAACGTGCATGCTCACCAAGAACTAATTAAGAAACAGAGCAACAACAAAATTAAGGGTGGTTGAGCTCTGTTTGATTGTTGCTTGCTCTTACTTGCATAGACTTGGCGCCCCTACATCTTCCGTACGGCCTACAACTCTGTGATACATTCCTCAGAGGAATGCAATTAGAATAAAATTTACTGTTACAAACCGCCTGCCGCCCCATAATTTTTTGGGGAGGAATATATGTTTTCCCCTTTTTCCTTGAATTAGATGGAGAATCCTGGGCGGGCGCAGGTGGACTATTCTGGCCTTCACTTTTAGCAGTAGGTGAATGACTCGGATTTCTTCCGCCTTTGCTCTGTTCATTGCCACCTTAATTGGGAACATATATACATGCACACATGCAACCACAAAACTATTCAGTAAAGAAAGGTTATAAATACCAACGGGTTGGATCAAGTGGTAAGCGGTTTGTTCCAGTTTAAGCAAGATCTCGAGTTCGAGACTTTGTGTACGCAGCAGCCTTTGCTGGGAGACTCATTCACCATTTTCAAGTGCGCGACGCGGGTCGGGTCTGAGTTAATCGCGACAAAACCCCGGATACCGGACGTGAAACCAAAAAAAAAATAAATAAATAAAAAAGAAGAAAGGTTATAGATAAAATTTGAATTAATTCTATAAAGAAAAAAGAGACAGCTTACTTTGAACTCCTGGAGCTATGAAGACGATTGATACCGTAAGAAAGCAGCAAATAACGAGAGAAAGCCGGAGCATTTTTGCCATGTAAGAGTTTTTTACTTCGGTACCTTCTGTTATGGGTATATATATATAGTACTGTTTTAGTGTACCCACTAATCAAGTCAACCAATATAATCTTGGAGGATTAATCCTAGCAACGTTTAGTGCGGGGAAGTTGAACTCCAAGAACGCCTAGTTAGGTTATTGGAACACGTTGATGTCCCACATGAACTAATTATGACTGTAATGTGCCTAATAAAGACTGCAAAAGTATATCTTTGTGATTGGCAATGTTTCATGGCTACTTTGGATTTAATTTGGACCAAGTCATACTCAGATCAAAAAGGTATGAACATGAGTTTTCCAAGGATGGTGTGAGGGTTGGAACAATTCGTTTCTTTTTTTCTTTTTTCTTCTCTCTCTCTCTCTCTCTCTCTCTCTCTCTCTCTCTCTCTCT